AATAACAATAATAATAATTCACCAATCACTAGATAATAATACACAAACTGCGACAAAAAAGAACAACTTAAAAAACTATATATTCTAGTTAACAAGTGACTTCAACGCACCATAACAACATACCTTCTCGCGTCATTATACGCTTTTGAGGATTATCAGCCCCTTGACAAACCTGAAAGAACGATAGTTTTTTTCTTCCTGTCACGACCCTAATCACTCTGCCCCAACCTCTATGTCACCTCGCCCCCTCCCCTCCTACCGGTTCCCTCCCTCTCTCCACCCTCCCTCCTTCCCTCCCTCCCTTACTCTCTCCCTCCCTTCCTTCCTTCCCCTCTCCCTCCCTCCTTTCTTTCCTTCCCTCCACCTCTTTCCCTGGCTCCTTCTAAGCTATCCCCCTTTCTTCTTTCGTATTATCCACATTTGATCGATCCACTCGTAATTAATTCAAAATCATGTAATTCCAAGTCTCACACTTTACAGCCGATCCCCCCCCCCCCTCATGAGCCAACCACCAATAAAGGGCAACGGCAATTTACATTTCCTCAAACGCTGATACTCCGAAAGCGCAACTGCTATGCAACACCTATGCGCACTGCCAAACCAAGTCCTCAAAAGCTCCCCCCTCCCTCACCTTAGCTCTCTCTCTCTCCCCCCCCCCCCAATCCCCGCCCACTCCTCCCTCTCCTCCCCGCCCGCGTCCGAAATGTCAGGCCGCAGCCCAGCTCGGCTCCGGCGGAACCCACTTTTTCCCCGTGCCAACCGCAGCGCCTGTTAACGGCACTGGGGTCGCCGCTTCACTTCCCACCCATCAGATGCGCGTCCCTCTCCTTGCTCTCCGGTGCACGGAAAGGAAGAACACTGATAACAGATGCATCCACTCATTAACTCACTTACTCTCCTTTTGCGACAGAGAGAAGAGGGGAAGGAAGGAAGGAAGGAGGAGGAGGAGGAGGAGGAGGAGGAGGAAGAAGAAGATAGAGGAGGAAGATAGAGGGGAGAGGAGAGGGGGGAGGAGAGGAGGGGCAGAGGGAATGGGAGAGGAAAAGAGAGAGAAAGAGAGAAAGAAAGAGAAAGAGAAAGGAAGAGAAAGAGAGAGGGAGAGAAAGAGAAAGAAAGAAGAGAGAGAGAGAGAGAGAGAGAGAGAGAGAGAGAGAGAGAGAGAGAGAGAGAGAGAGAGAGAGAGAGAGAGAGAGAGAGAGAGAGAGAGAGAGGGACGGAGGGAGGGGGAGGGAGGGGGAGGGAGAGGGAGAGGGAGAGGGAGAGGGAGAGGGAGAGGGAGAGGGAGAGAGGGAGAGAGGGAGAGAGGGAGAGAGGGAGAGAAGGAGAGGGAGAGGGAGAGTGAGAGAGAGAGGGAGGGAGGGAGAGAGAGAGAGAGAGAGAGAGAGAGAGAGAGAGAGAGAGAGAGAGAGAGAGAGAGAGAGAGAGAGAGAGAGAGAGAGAGAGAGAGAGAGAGAGAGAGAGAGAGAGATGGGCAGTGCCGTGCAGCCTCAACTGGTCCACATCTGGCGTGCGTAAGGCGCCCACACTCCACCTGGCCGGGATGAACTTGACCCCGCGGGACCGGATTCTCCTCTCGCCTGTCGTCTGCCTGCTTGGCCTGCCTGCCAACCTGTCTGCCTGCTTGGCCTACCTGCCTGGCTGCTTGGCTTATCTGCCTACCTGTCTGCTTACTTGGCCTGCGTGCATAACTGTCTGCATACTTGGCTTATCTGCCTGCCTCTCTACCTGCATGACCCACCTGCCGACTTGTCTTGGCTTATCTGCCGACCTGTTTGGCTGCTTGGCTTATGTGCCTCCTTGTCTGCCTGTCTGGCTTTCCTATATGCCACTTTCGCCTGCTTACCCTATTTACTTGTCTATCTGCCCACTTAGCCTATCTACCTGCTTAGCTTACCTGCCGACCAGTTTGCATGCTTGTCCGGCTACCAATCAGAATGTGTAGCTTACCTGGATGCTTAGTTTATCAAACTACCTGCCTGTCTGCTTGGCCTATCTACCTAAAAGTCTAAGTGCTCGGCTAATCTACCTGCTTGTCCACCTACCTCCCTGCGTGGCTTACCTGCCAACCGGCTCTCCTGTTTTCCTTCCCCTTGACTGATATCCTCCTGCTTAGCCTACCTGTCTGCCTGCTTACCTCGCTCCCCTACCTGTCCTCTGCAGGTATGACTTGCCTGCGTACTTTCTTTCAGACTACCTGCCTGCTTTGCTTATCATACAATTCAACATGCTTGTCAACATGCTTGTCTGCCTGCATGTATTTCCCTGTGTCCCTATCCGACCTATGGCGGCCTACCTCTTTTGTCTGTTTCCCTGCTTGTTTGCTCTGCTTGCCACTTTGCTAACCTGTCTGACATTCCCCCCAACGCTTTTTGCCTGTAAGCCCGTCTGCTTATCTCGCCTCTCTGCCTGCTTCTTCTCTTGCTCTCCCCTCGACGGCAGTTCAGTTGACGAGTGCAAGCGAATCGTGTGTGCGTGTGCTTTCATTTGCGCATTCCCAACCATATCTCTCTCTGCCCCCTCCCTTCCCTCCATTAACTCTGTCTGCCATTATTGTGCAAGTGTTTGTATGTGAGAAAGTGAGTGTGCAAGTGAGTGTGGGTGTCTGGGC